CTCAGGCAATCTACTCACCTCAGCCTCCCAAAGGCACGGGATTACAGGCTGAGCCACCGAGCCCGGCCCAACTGCATTTCTGCAATCTGATTACAGTTGAGATTTTATATATTTTTATTTTAGTCAGAATTTCCCTCTGTCACCCAGGCTGAAGTGCAGTGGCATGCTCACAGCCACCACACCCTCGATCTGCTGGGCTCAGGCGATCCTTCTGCTTCAGCCTTCCAAGTAGCTGGGACCACAGGCATGTGCCACCATGCCCACCTAATTCTTTGATTTATTGTAGAGACAAAGTCTCACCAAGTTGCCCAGGCTGGTCTTGAACTCCTGAGCTTAGGCAATTCTTCTGCCTTGGCCTCCCAAACTGCTGGGATTATAGACGCGAGCCACCGCACCTGACCAGTTTAGACTCTCTTAAGTCCTTCTAATGCTGTGTGCATTCTCTCACTAAAGGAGAAAATAAAAGTAGATTCATTTTCCTTTTTGGTGATACCTACCTCAGTGAACATAACATGTCTTTTCAGTAAGTCCCCATCCTGCTCTTGGTATGAACTTGGACTTATCCTGTGTCTTTTTCTTAGTGAACCTCCTTCAGAGACAGATCACAGGAAAGTACCTGAAATTCTCAAATGGCCGCCTCTCTAGGCTTCTGTGTCCCCAGCTCATGGGCTTCCCTTTGGGAGATGCTACTCGAGTTTTAGAATGTGGGCGCTGAAGGAACTTTAGTGGCTGCTTGGCCAGCTGCTGCCTCCTGTAGAAGAGATGAGGAGGGCACTGGCATGGTCTGGCTGCTGCGTGTGCAGGTCTACAGCTCAGGCATGCTGCCTCTTCTCCACCTGGTGTTCTCTCCTCTTCCTTATGTGTGCATCTGTGTTTATGTGCAAGTTCCTGTGTACAAGTGTCAGGAGCATTCGTGAGAGGAGCAGAATCTGGGAGCTGACTCTGGTGGTGGCTGTGTCATCCCTGGCTCATCCCCACCATGGCCCCCAGCACTGCATCCTGATGCCCACACACCTCCCTCCTCCATCTGGACTACTTTTCCAGGTGCCCCCACCACCCTCCACAGCCAAACTCCTGGTAGACTTGATCTTTCCAACTGTTAGACACTCTATGGCGCAAATTAACCGGACGCAGTAGCGCATTTAATCCTAGCACTTTGTGAGGCTGAGGCAGGAGGATTGCCTGAGCCCAGGAATTCAAGACTGTCACCCACGCAGCATAGTGAGGCCTGGGCAATATAGTGAAGCCTTGTCTCTACAAAATATCAAAAATTAGCCAGGTGTGGTAGTTGCACACTTGTAGTCCCAGCTGCTTAGGAGGCTGAGGTAGAAGGATTGCCCGAGTCCAGAAGTCAAGGCTGCAGTGAGCTGTGGTTGTGCCACTGTACTCCAGCCTGGGTGACAGGGTGAGACCCTGACTCAAAACAAAAACAAAAAACAGCTCTGTGGCCAGATGAGTGTTCGTTCTGGATAAACCACCTCCATTGTCCCTTGCTGCCTCCAGTGACTGCATGGGGGACCAGCTTCTGGACCTGGGTTGCTCTTACATGGCCCAGCAGGCCCGGCTCTTCCTTTCTCAGCCTTCATTCCTGCCCTTTTGCTCTGGGTAGAGAGAAGCATTTGGCAGATGATTGGGGCTGCCTCACCTAGCAGTTTAAGAAAAGCAAACAAGTCGGGTCCAGGGGCCAGCCAGCAGCCTCGGCCTCCCTAGGTGGTAGGCGCTGGTACCGCCCTCCAGGCAGACGCTCATCCAGGTGGAAAGAGAGGCCTTCAGCCCTGAAACGGGTGTGTCCTGGGGATAGACCACAAGGTGGGCGGGGGGGCTTCTTTGACCTCCTGTTTTCCCAGCAGATTTTGTTCTTGAAATTCAGACCTATGTCACCTGTTACTCAGTAATGCTTGTCTCTCACTCCAATGACCCTTTCTAAATCCATCCACTTAAAGTTGCAATGCAGTCCCACCTCCAGGGATTTCAGCTGTGTCCCCAAGCTGTTAGGCTTAATTTCTATGCCAGCTGACATATGTAGTGCCTACTCTGGGGAAGCTTCTATGACTGCTCTGGATAGAAGGTGACAAAGTTCCATATGCATCATATACAGCAAAAACCGCTTGAGCTCAGCGGTTAAGTTCAACCATCAGAAGGATTTTTGCTTTATTTGGCTTAATAACTTCCTTTCTACCAGCTTATCAAATATTATCTGTTTCTGAATTGCTAAATATTCATATAAAGCACATTATTCCAGTAAGTGCCAACAGGGTTGTTAAACGCTAGTGTTACAGTGTGTTTCAGGTGATTTCTCCTCTGTTAGCTGTTCCCTCAAGGCACTGATTGGCACAGCCAGCGTTGGGGTGGGTGTGTAAGGCTCATCTTGCTGTGAATCGTCTTTTCATGTGTGGTTTACGAGGTTTGTAGTCACAACTAGCCTGTCCTAAGTAAAATGAAATTATACAAACAAAAATCTCTTCTTCCACTTCTGAACTTTGGTGTTTTCTGTAAGAAGCCCTGTGGGTGATTTTTTTCTTGCTCTTGCCATGGGAACTCTGTGTCATTAGCTGCCTGGAAATACTTTCCATTTAAAAAACCATACTTTACTACCTCCCTCCTGTACAAGTTAATATCTGTCTGGATGTTGAAGAAACTTTGACTTTTCCCAAAGATAAATTTCTTGTCTTCTTGCAATGCATCCTGGGCCAGGTATGCAACCTTTAATCTAAAACTCAAGAGAATTCACTAGATCTCTTGGTGACTGGGTTCCCTAGGCACAAATAGGTGCCTCATTGACAAAGGGGTTACCAGTGCCAGTAGTTGGGTGCTGTTTTAACTTTGTTGTTTCCAGTGGATTCTTTTTCTCCCCACTGCCATCGACTGTATCTCTCAAAAGTCAGCACTATGCCTTGTTGAACAGAGGTTTGTCTGCTGTGCACAACCCTGTCACGATGCCCCAGCAAGCTTCTCCTGGTGTGAAATGGCTCCTTTCCCTTCTAAATTATGCTCCAAGCCAGATGTGGTGATTCACGCCTGCAATTCCAGCACTTTAGGAGGCCAAGGCGGGAGGATCGCTTGAGCCCAGGAGTTCAAGACCAGCCTGGGCACATAGTCGCTACAAAAAAAAAAAAAATTAAAAATTAGCTGGGCATGATGGTGCACACCTATAGTCCCAGCTACTTGGGAGGCTGAGGCGGAAGAATCGCCTGAGCCCAGGTGGTGAAGCCATGATCGTGTGGTGAGCCATGATGGTGCCACTGCACTTCAGCCTGGGTGACAGAGTGAGGCTCTGACTGGAATGAATGAATGATTGTGCTCCAGCACTCTACTGCTGGCTGTGCTCACAGGAGGAACAGCTGGGTGGTGGTTCCTGTTGCATTGGGTTTGTGGGTTTAGGGCATATGTGCCCACTTCGTGTATTATCTCCTTACTGGGTCACTCAAGATACATTGTATCCAGCTTTTGTGAAGAATGATGACACTTCTGAGTAACTTGTTTTTAGCTTATCTAACTGGTGTATTTGTAATTCTTTCTTGGTTTTGGCTAAATAGAAGTTCAGAACTGGTTGGCTGATCACCTCAAGCAGAGTGTAGAACCCTGCTGTCTTGTAGAAGCAGAATGTGAGCCACATGTGTAATTTTAAATTTTCTAGACCACATTAAAAACTAAGGAGGGGAAAAAATGCAAAACTTGCTAGTGAAAATAATTTTAATAATTTTATCTACCATATCTAAAATATGATCACTTTAAAATCGAATTAAGCCCCAAAATGTGTTCCATCTATTAAGTATCACTAAAAATCAATATAAAAATTATTATATTCCTGTTTTTTGCATGCATTAAAGCTGCTTCTTCTTCTTCTTCTTCTTCTTCTTCTTCTTTTTCTTCTTCTTCTTCTTCTTCTTCTTCTTCTTCTTCTTTTGAGTTGGGGGTTCACTCTCACCCAGGTTGGAATGCAGGAGCATGATCATACTCACAGCAGCCCTGACCTCCTGGGTTCAGGTGATCCTTCTGCCTCAGCCTTCCAAGTAGCTGGGACTACAGGTGGGCACCACCATATCCAGCTAATTTTTTTGTAGAGATGAGGTCTTATTGTATTGTCCAGGCTGGTCTCAAATTCCTGGGTTCAAGCAGTCCTCCTACCTCAGCCTCCCAAAGTTCTGGTATTAGGGGAGCGAGCTGCACTAAATCTTCAAAGTTATTTTTACTTCAGACTAGCCCTGTTATAGTTCAGGTGTGGCTAGATGTATCTATGCCTGTGGCTGTCAGATGGGTGTGTGCGGGGCAGTGAGACCCCCATAGCTGGAGGACTGCAGGCTCATTTGCTCTCATCCTTTTCCTCCTCCTGCATTTTCCTTTCTTAATGTTTTCACTTCTGTACCACAAGTTTAAAAACAAGTATCTTTGTGAGCGACCCTGAATGAAGCTGTTTTGAAATAAGACAGTGCATAAATGAATATGACTGTTTTTCCAAGGAGTCTGCGCAGCGTGGGATGGAGGCATACACGCAGACACATGGCTTGCAAGGTGTCAGGTGTTTTCTGCTTCCCGTTCTTTTGTGCGGGGCCAGGTTACTTGTTGGTGTCTGGGCAGACCTCCATATCTGAATTTATTCATTTTTCTTGGACAATTTCAGGGGAAGAGGAAGACATAGTGGTGAAAACTGGAGCTTCCCACAACCCATTAATTTGGAGATTTTTTTTTTTTAATGACTTAAGACAGGACTTCAGGTTTGTGAGGGACTGTCCTAAATTGACTGGTGGTGTCCCAGATTTCTATCTTGGCGACCTGACACCCTCTGGAGTTTTGATCTAGATGCACATGAGAATTCATGGAAGGATCCCAGCCCTCACTTACCTGGCACTTGACAGACAGTGTGTGGGAAGGAGGCCAGGACATCTGTAGGTTAGACTTCTTGTAAGGTTGGCGTCTGTGTTGGCAGCCAGGCGCAAGAACAGGGAAGATTTTGCCGTGAAGAATTCTTCTTTTTCAGCATATTTAGTTAGCACTTGAGTTGGTTAAATGGCTGCTTTTGAGGTGCTCAAATTCTGTAGTGATGATTTCCCTTCTCTCCTCCCTCTAAAATCATATTTGCAGCCCTTACGGTTTTTGTTTTTGTTTTTTTAACTAAAGATGTTATCTCCCTCCATATATGTAGAGGGAGATAAAGACAATACTGAAAAAAATAAGAAAGGAGGGAGACTCAGTGCAGGGTGATGATGTCAGCCAGAATCCCAGAGCAACAGCTTCAGTTGGTGCTGGATATCTGTAGTCCTGTGAGACAGAGGGTTTTATAGCCTGTTTCTTTTTCAGCAATAGGCTGTTTTCATTAGAAGCCAAGTAAACTTTAAGGAGTTTGCTCTGAACTTTATACAGACAACAAATTAGTGGGTTTCGTAGATGATTCTTTTGAAAGAAGTGTGGAGACCTCAAAATTCATCCGCGTCTCACTCGAGGTGAATACACACATTCTATGGATTCTTTTCCATCTGGAGGAACATCTATGACGTGTTGAAGTCTGCTGCCACATGTCAGCTTTCACTTTAGACACCTCCCCTTGCTCGGGTGTGAGGAACAGTCTCCCTCCATGCAAAAATCTGTCTCAGTAGAAGTCACATAAAATTTGTTTCCTGCCCTTCCCCCATTACACACACGTGTGCACACACGTGCATACATGTACCACCCCATAAGTACTAATCACACACACACTGTTGAAGTACTAGTAAGATTGCCATGTGTGCACAGACATCTTCTAAAGCCAGACTATCCTCTATCTTTTCTAATTTGTTGGTACAATTCTGTTTGTAACGATTTGCTTTCCTTGTTGTACCTTAATACTAGGGTGAAGCAGAAAGAGACTGTGATAATAAGAAAATCAGACTGGAGAAAGAAAGCAAGTCACAGTCATCTTCATCTTCATCCTCCCACAAAGAATCTTCTAAAACAAAGTGAGTATAGTACTTAGAAACAGCTTGGTCTCTAAGGCAACCAAGTCTTCTTGTTTTTTTGGCATGGTCCAAAAAAAGGTTTTTTTCTGCAGTAGAGTCACTGAATTAATAAATTTTCCAAGCCGGGCTCGGTGGCTCAGCCTGTAATCCCACGCCTTTGGGAGGCTGAGGTGAGTGGATTGCCTGAGCCTGTGGGTTCGAGACCCGCCTGGGCAGGCGAGACCTCATCTCTACAATAAATAAAAATATTAGCCAGGGGTGGTAGCGCATGCCTGTAGTTCCGGCTACTTGGAAGGCTGAGGCGGAAGGATCGCCGGAGCCCAGCAGGTTGAGGCTA